GCCCCCGCGCTGAGGTGGGTGCAGCCCCGGTGGGTGCCGCAGGAGGCCCCTCAGCACCCCGTCAGGCCTCTTCCCGCCAAAACCCACAGGGCTGGCGCTCCCCTGCCCTCCCACTGAGCCTCCAAGGCCTCCATCCACCTGGGGCCATTGGGGCCTGTCCCCTTTGCGCTCCCCGCCCACCCACCATCTTACCCACGCTTGGGCCCTCATCCCCGTCCAGCAACTGTGGTGCCAGCGTCCTCCACCCCCCTCCTCATTTACTCCCCCAGGGAGCCCCTTTGGATCTCACGCGCCATGTTGGTTTACCCCAAGTCGCCAGCGGCTGAGGGGATGACTTCCAGTTCAACCTCAATGTCTGCAGCGGCAGATCCCCATCCTGATGGCCAAGAGGACAGCATGGAGCGGCTGCAGTGCCAGCCACATCAGGGAGGAAGCAGAGACCCCCAGAGGTACCCCACAAAACACGTCTTGTTGCTGGCACTGGGAGTAGCAGTGATCTGCTGCTTGTTTTCTACCATATTTATTGCTCAGGTAAGAACCAAGAGCTCCGCTCATTGCTTATTCACCCAGTCCCATCCATCCAAGGTGAGCTGCAATGAAAATAAACCAGAATTTTACATTTTAATTGCAGAGATGGTGTGGGCACAAGCACCTACCTGGCGTTGGTTTGTACCGTGGAAGGCAGCGGATCACAACAGCTGGATATGTTTGGCTCTGTCACTCAGAGGATTGACGCTGTGTTCATGACCGACCTGCTCAGGTGCCAGTCTACCACCTTTCTGCACAAAAAATTGTGTTTGTTTCCTAGCAGGGATTAATAGTGTGCTCCATCTCAAATAAAACCCATCAGTTCTTTAGAAATCAAAATTGACTCTAAAATTTTTGAAATGCCACTTGTGGGAATAGCAACAAACCCCCAAGGGCATGCTTGAGTGTAGCAAGATCATTTAATTCAACTGAGAAAAAAAAAATCACAACTCAAACAGGGGTTTGCATTTTCTCCTGCACAGTTGCGTCACTAGATGGCCTTGCAGACCGAATGCAAACACGACTGCACTCTGCATCTCTCTCAAGGAAGACCCAGCTTTGTGCAGAGGGCAAACAAAAAGATAGAAAACAGTAATTTGGCAATAGGGAGGAGGAGGAATGTGTAAATACCCAACAAAGTGTCATATAATTCTAATTCTGATAATAAAGAGCAACCAAATTCACACCTATTTGAAGCTAACCATTTTACTGAGGAAAAAGTTGATGCCAGCATGTAGAATACACAAGCTGTCAAAAAGATGCTTTATGAAAGGCGATCTTATATATCTTATCCAAACCACAGTAAAAGCCGACAGCTCCTGTTGACTGTAACGGCTGAGGGCATTCCAATATCACACAGGAATGAATAGCCCAGGAAAGAATTGGTTTACCCTGAAAAGATTTATTTGGACCTGGCTCAAAACCAGCACCACACTATGTATGCTATGATCAGCAGACAGACTTTGTAGTCTTCCTGTGAGGGAGTACTATAATTCAGGTTTTTTTCAAGTCAATTATTGCCCTAAAAGTTTTTTGGGGAATAAAAGTATTTTGTGGGTCATTGTTAGGCTGTTGGGTTTTTCCTTTTCTTTGTTGTTGATCTTTGTTTTGCAAGTCTCACAAAACAGTCTTTACATTTCTCACATCTTTGCCTCCTTTTATATTTTATAGGCAAAGGAACTTTTTAGATTTGTACACCTTTATATTCCAGATGAAACAATATAAAATGAGTACATTATAAAATCAACTGTAAACACTCCAAAGACTGTTTTTAAGTAATGGAAGTTCTGTTTGTAGTGAGACAACTTGTTATTGACAAAATACAGCATTTCAGTGTCTCAGTTGCTTATTTTTAATTAACGGGTATGCAGTGCTTTAGGCATATAAAGTCCTATGCAAAAGCTAAGCGTATTTTGCTGACTCCGAAAAAGTAAAATCTAATATGGAATTTAAATGGAAGAAGATTCAACTCTCTATTAGTAAAATTCAAATCTAATCATTATTAATTGCAAGTGTCCTTCTACTTCTGTTTTGGCCTGTATATTGATTTTGGCACAAGTCCTGTTTCATCAAAAGCTTATGCATCTGCAGCTCAAGAGTCAATGTGCGTATAGAGATTTACAGTGAGCGTACCAAAATCAAGACTTTAATGGGGTATGGTAAATAGCTGTGTTCCAATCTTGTTACCAATTTGTCGCTTCATGATTGCCAAGGAAAATAGTAGGAAGGAGTGGAAGGTTAACACATGGAAGTGTATGATTTGTAAAAGATGCTTTAACACTTTAGGTGGTATCAATGGGTAATTCAGGTTAGTTATAAGGACACCCAAAAAAGACTCACAGAGTAGGCTTAATATTGAAGCTATGACTTTTTTACAATGCAGGACGGTGACATAAGTTGATACTTCCATTTCTCAAAATACCAAGCCTGGGGAAAAGTGCTTGCAACCTCCTGGACAGTTCTGGTACAATGGAAGAACCTCAAGGCGTATCCGTGGCCTGACCTCCTAAGGAAGCACCACCACCGTACTTGTGCTGCCTCTCCCTCTCTGTCCCTTGTGATGGGCTTGGAAAAGACAAGGAAACTGAGATTTACTAGTATTGAAAGCCCAGGAGTTTTGTGACTATAGAGAGTCAAGTGGGTTACAAGAAGCATAATTGTAATTTTTTTTTCTGCTCAAAAATACTGTTTTAAATAGTAAATATGTTATCAGATTTGTCAAAATACCCTGGCTAGCTATGTGCTTCCATTTGGAGGAACTCTGAATAGTGTCAAAGTTTTAAGTTTCCGATCACTTGAGCTCTGTCATAGTGCATGCCCTTAGGCTAGTAAGCATGGCTTGCAATAATATTTCTAATGGAAAACACAACTATTTTAGCTACCCAGCAAGGTCTCAGGCTACTGGTACTTCCTTGTAGCCACAGCTGCAGAGAGGAGTATCAGCACACGCCATCTACTGTATACTCATATTATTAAGTTTATATGGTAATATAAACTAGACAAGAACGGGCACATGTTCTTCCTAAACATCTTTAGAACTACGTTTTTGAAATACACTTTAGAATTTCCTTCTTGATAACACAGACCCCAGCTTTACAAAGACTTAAACCTAAAAATAACAGTAAGAACAAGTAGCCCCACTTATGTCAAAGGAAATATTCGGAAACTTAGTTAAGAATGTGCATAATGAGACAGAGCCTTAAATATTTATTTTTGAACATGCCAGTGATATTAATTATTTGTGTTTTCAGCGATGAATTCCCGCTACAGCATGTACATGTAGAGCAAGAGACAAGGCCATGAAGAGTTTACAACAGGAAAGACAGACCCTAAAGAATGGAACTTACCATGTAAGTGGAGTGAATTTCTGACACTTTTCAGATGTTACAGGAGGGCAACAATTGTTTGTTGCATGCACAGACCCTTACTGAAGAACAATCTCTGCCCCACAGAATTTAGTGTGAACTGAGAGGGCAGAGAGGGAAGGGGAAACTGTAATGTAGGAGAGCTGAACTGTACCTTGCACACACAAAGAGGTTATGGGAGACAATATCAGCGTAAGAAGAGAAACCTATGACAAAGCTAGGTATATGCTTAAGGTAATTCAATTTACTTACAGAACAACTGTACGATTTTCTTTTCACAATTGTGGTTTTGCTCACAATCCCAAGCCTCTTTCAACCCTCACTCAACACTGGAAGTAGCTTTTTTCAAAATCAAAGCTCTGTCTCCTTGACTTTCAGCTGCTTCTCAGTATCCATTTCTGTAGTGTTTCTCGCCGTTTCTCTTGCACATGCAGAGCTCCACCATCTGGTCCTCATGGCCTGATATTTTACACACACGCCCCCACCCCGAAAAATCCCTTGGGCCACATGATTCACCATCTATTCAGGGCTTGCCATGTGCCTGTTTTTTGTGTAGTAGCCCCTACTGATGTAAATCCCTTGTTTCATAAGGGCTCTCAATTGCCTTTTTCACTGAAGGCAAGGTGGCTGTGACACCTGCCAGTTTCTAAGACGTTTAACGCAGCCTAAAACATTATTACATTGTTGTTTGGCTGAGTAGGAACCATGGCTTTTTTTCCCAGTGGGAAGTGCTGCCAGAAAGGTATTAACTTTCTAGACTATTAAGTAATGTGGAAAAATTACATTTCAATAAGAAAATTTCCTTTTTGCCTTTTCATGCCTTAGGAATATAGTTCCTGTTTCACTTGGCTCAAGTGGCTCAGGCACTAAATCAGTGCAAAAATCTTTCAATAAATTCTACATAAAATCTGTCCAAATGCTACCATAGAGTTCAGAGGGCTATGAAAGAAAACAGGACAACGGTCTGGAACGGGAGGTGTTAGCCAAATTAGACAGGCAACTCAGCAAAATCAGGCAGCGAATATTCAGACAGTTTGATGTAGTTTGGACAGGTTTTGTTCATAAACCACACACTGACTACTACCTAGAGAGCAGCTATTTATAGGGAACACATACTGTTTCTTGCGTTATTTTCTCTGGTATGCTTTAAAACAGGGGTGCCAACGATGTGAGCCAAACATGGCCTACCTGATGTATGCATGGCCAACGTGCTGTATTTTGAATCTCACCTTTCATTAGAAACTGATTTCTTAGCTTTGCAGTTGTGGGGGAAAAAAACCCTCCACGAATTTGAAGAGTGTGTAAATCAACACGGTAACGATACACGGTAACGGCTGATACAGTAGGTGCTTAGGGGCAGTTTTAAGTTTCTGTTCCTCACTGAAGTGTGACTTCTCAAGCCAAGTTCTGTTGTGAAAAATGGGTAACACAAGGTTAAGATCATCCTATGCTTTTCTGGAACATCAAACACAATGACTGATCTCTGAAAAGCGTGAAATGAACAAGCAAGTGTCTGCCAACACCACCGTAACTCTGCCCCCGTGGATCTGGGCGATATGCGTGTCTCCCAGATGTGCTGGCACGGCTTCACTGAACGATGGGGAGGAATTTGTCAACACAGGCTGGCAGAGCTATCCCAGTGATGCTGGATCTCATCCTCTACGTCTGCGCTCAACAGTGAATCTGGAGATTCGCCGGAGAGAGAGGGATTCAAAATGCCTCGTTTCAGGCGAGATCCGCAGGTTGTGTTTGCGTTGGTAGCTGTGGTTGGTTTTGCCATGGGAACAGTCAGAAGCAACGAGTTTAGGAGTGATGCGCAGGCTCTCTTGTGGCTGAGTGAGAGAGCACAGGGCTCTGCTACAGATCTGCATGAAATTAATCGGCGTCAGATGCTTTTCTGCATCCAGTGTAAATAGCTTTCCTTGCAACACAACGTGTTTTTACCCAATATCCAATGCGTCTCTTTAGTATACACCCCTAAAATCCCTCTGGCTTATGCCTTCATCTGTTTTCATTACTCAACACTCCACCTGACCCACCAAGCACCAAGATGTTATTTTTTTTCAAAATTAGAGTGCTCTCTGGAGTATCTGCTTTCTTCAGATTATTTTTCCCTTCTTCTCCCATTCCTGAAGTAGGTAATTCCTGGTAGAGAGATATTTTCTTTTAATGTAGTTGCTGGTTTAGGGAGGACTGAGACCAATAGGAGTGTGTTAATTAGGATGACCGCAGCACCAGAGCAGGAGTTGCGTTCAGCTTCTTTAGTTTACACAGTAGGGATAAATATGGAGTAGGTGAGGCCGCTGTGGATGGCCAAATTTGTGTTATGGTCCCCAGAAGTTGGTTGGTAGATTCCACTAATCCTAAAATGTGTGGAGTTGTTATTTTTTTGTGATGCTTTTGAGAACCTCAAGTTCAAATGATCCCAGGTTTGGCTTGCTGAGTATGCTTTCCAGTATGCGAGCTACAACTCAACTTGAACAAACATGTGTTTTCCAGAACCATTAGAAGAGTCGGGCTTGGCATTGCTGCATTGGCCATGCAATGGCCATCACTCTTGCACCTGGCCCAGGCAGGAACCTCTCAAACCTTTTGCACAAGAATGTGGGGAAACTGGGAATATTCATAGGAGGAGGAGAAAGGATGGCAAAGTAGGCTGTAAGAGAAAGGACTGTGGGTGAAACAGGGGCAGGCTTTTGCTGAGTGATGTATGGCATTGACATTAAAGGGCAGTTAACGTGTGCAGTTCCTGTCCTCCCCTCTGATATTTGTGCAAACTTCCTACAGGAAGGCAGCAACTGCAGACTGAAGAGATGATAAAATCCTCTGTTTATATCCCTATGGGAGACACCGTAATTTCTGCCTGTTTTTTGTCGAGTGCTACATGTACAGGGAGAGCTAAGTAGGAAGCACTTGCTATGTCGTTGACTGGCTGGGAGGAAGCTCATACATAGAGATGGAGGTTTGGCAGGAGCCAGAGAGGTTCGTGGCTTGTCAGAGCATCCCTAGACAAAGGACAGGCCCAGACTGAGTTTATCTCAGACCCAAGAGTAGCCATTAACGCGTCCAGAGCAAACCCTGCAAAGAAACAGTGATGCTCAGAGCAGGCTAATTAATAACTTGAGGCGCTGGAAATAAACCCAGTTGTAATTGTGTCATGTTTGCTTTAGAGCTGTGATTTTTGGCTTGCGCTGTGCTTGCGGGAGCTGGATGGGTTGATGGTGCAGAGTGGCCTGGCTGGGGGTCCTCGCTGCAAGCCACCGGAGCAGGGCGGGAAGGTGTTTGGGCAATCGCAGCAGTGGCATGGTCTGGTGTGCGCAGGCACGTAGAGGGCAGTAACCTGCCAGTGCTGCTCCAGCCCACGGGTCATTGCCAAATGTGGACTGGCGCACTGCCCTGCGTGAGCTCGACACCGCTGTCCTCAATGGCATGTTTCCTGTGCATGTCTCCCTTCCTACACACGTTTCACCCTTCCTGACTCTCATTGTAACAGGCACACTGTCAAGTTCCCAGTTGCTTACTGGGATTAACACAGTAGCTCTGATTTCTTAAGGCGGGGAGATTTCCCGGTTAAAACCCATTCTAATTAAACTTACATCTCTCATAATGCTAAAAATGCCCCTGTGTGAAAGGCAGCTGAATCTACTTGTAAAATGTCAGTGCCCCTAGACCTTTAATGGTCTTAGGAGTCTAACAATAGTATAGACAGAGCCTGTTCAAAGATACAGGACTCCAGACAAATGGAAGGAGGAAGCAAATATAGCATCCCTCTGAATCAGCCATCTTAGAGAAAAATCTTCAAAGTATGAAACACATCTGGCTGCCTATTTGTCAAGTTTTTTATTGGCTTGAAATACACACACACACAGAGCCCACAGCAAATCCTCCCCACTGTAGATCTGGGTGGGCGCCTCTGTTTTCCTTTTAGGACTCAATTTTGGACCTGGGGAAAAGCATTTGCAGTCAACAGGACTCCAGCAAGCCAGGGCTGGCCATGGAGGAGGGCAACAGCTGCAGAAGCTTTAATTCCTCTCCCCACCCTCCTGTGCAAATGTGTCCCTCAATCCTCTGTCTGGAGGAGCCCAAGAGAGGAACGTATAGCTCCCCCGCTACCCTGCCAGCTCTACTGGCATTTCCTATTACGCAGCCAATTGCCTGTTAAGTGCTGAGACCATAGAGTATTTTTTCATGTGGGCAGCTGAGTGGTGGTGGAACTAGAATCTCTTTTGGTCACACCACACACACACACCCCCCCCAGATGTTCGTGACACGTTCTTACCCCCCTTTATGCAACACGTCAGGCGTTTGTGATAATTTATTGCCACAGGAACCACTTCCTGCACGCTACTAGCAGCAAGTCATCCCGGACTGCTGGCAGGCATTGCGCAGGGAAAAGGAAAGACAACGTGCAGGGGAAGGTGCTGGAAGTCAAGGGAACCCCGTTCTCCATCAGCAGCTCGCACAAGAGAGAGGGGGAGAAAAGCAGAGATGGCTTTGGGGATTTAGTGGAAACTAACTTCAGTTAGGAATTAGCAATGGCCTGCCCTCTTGAAGGTTAAAACAATTAAAGTATCTGGAAAAAGTGTTTTAAGACTTACCTTGAAAAAACAAAAAAGACTAAAGGAAGTATGAAAATAAATTAGAAACTAGGCAAAGATAAGAACAGAGCCTACAGGAATCAAGCCTAAACAAAAGGCAGGGGCTATGCAGCGAGAAAACCACAAATGGCAGGGGTTGAAATGTAAAACCTACAGTTCACTGTGAACCATGAAAGATGCTGTTGTATTCCACACCTCCTCTTCCCGGGTGTAGCTGTCTCCACAAGGTGAAGGGCAGTAATGAATCAAGCTCCTTCCCTCTCCTCCTGTATTTTCTATTCAATTATTTGCAGGCTGTGCAAGTTCTGCTTTATTTCCCCTCTCCATATGCCACACTCTCCTCCTGTTTTTTTGGTTTTTTTTTTTATTCTGAACTGTGCATTTGGCCTCTCTCCCATTTCTTTCTCCTCGGTGAGTGCCCCCTGCTCTGCTAAGATCTGCTGTCTTTGTAACCTCCGCTGTGCACATATGCTGGCTCTCCCTCTCTCCGCCCCGCCACCCCCTGCCATCAAGTGTCCCTTCCCTTCACTCCAGCATTTTTGCCAGGGGGCCCATCAGCCAGCCAGAAAAGGAACAATTTTGCTATGGCCACTGCTCCCGTTTTCATGCTGCCAGCTCCTCTCCACCGATCAAGGGGAACCCATGTTGCTCCCGTAGTACAGCTGATTGGTAGCAGAAGCAAAGACGGCTCTGCAGCTGCTTAGCAACTGGGAGCTGCTGTTATGCAGCAGCGTAGAAAGGCAATGGATGGCCCAGCATTCACTAATTCTGCACGTTCTGGCCCACTTGGCTGAAAACCGTGGCTTAGTGGACCAGCTGGGGCACTCCCAAATGTCCTGTCAAAAAATAAATCAAGACGGGAACCCTTAACTGCAGATTTGAGAGCAATCGCGACAAGATGTCAAGGGCAAAACTGTCTTGGTCTTGTGCCGTACGTTGTTTGCATCACACCAGTTAGAAGAAACTGCTCCGATTTGTAAGCTAAACTCATTCCATTTGATCTTTGTCATCGCTTTTCTGGCTGCAACGTTTTATACTCTACCACTTATAATCAGAATGTTGCCTGTATGCGCTGCATTTGTTAAAAAGGCTCACAGGTCTCTAGCTACCACTGCACCTAGACTGTTTTATGATAGGTGTCCTGATACACAAGTATTTTAATGCATAAATATCCTTTTAGATTACTTATCTGTATCTTCATTTCCTTTTGATGCAAGCTCCGTGAGCACCCAAATTCTTTAAATGGTACATTCTTTTCATTCTTTTTTTTGAGGGGGTGGGTAAAACTGTGCTGTTGAGGCCATGAAGCACTGAACTGAAATGTGTAGTAATTTGATGGCTTTAGGATGTTGATTAGAATTGCCAACCTTCTTGATTTATTTCATGATTTTTATAAGCTTGAAAGTCTTCTAAAAAAATAACCGGTTGTACGTTCTGATGGGATCACAGCGTTTCAATAGCAGCTGCATTTCAATAGGCAAGAAGCAACACAGAACATTCTGCAAGTCAGGTGTTGAAACAGCTTCTTTATTCCTGTACAGCTCAAGAATGATTAGATCTCTGAAAGCACTCACTGCCTATCTTACAGAGGTGGCTTTGTCATAATACCAGCAGAAATAAAATGAACAGATACAGTTTAAAAAGAAACCAGAAAACCCGGCCCTGGCAAATATCCAACACGCCCATCAAAAGTTCTATGGATCTTAAACAAAATAAACTTTTGTTCCACTCTTGGGTATCGCCATACATCCCTTTGCACCCAGGCAGCCAAACAACGCGGCCGCCTAGCGATTCCCTGTCACTGTTCAATGCTTCCGTCCCAGGCATCCTCAGAGCACGCTGGGGCACAGGTGAAATCTGTCAGGAGGTTGCTTATTTTGGTTGAGAAATTCCCTAGACAGATCACCTGCTGTTCTTAGGAAGAAATGAAAAATTTCATGGCAAAAAAACCTGAGCAGGCAAATACACTGTCCATATTCCTACTCAGTATTTCTTTGATATTCTTAGCCTGGTTTCCTAAAAATAAAACAGTCTAATGTGACTATGTTGTTCCATGTAATTTTTCCTCTCCTTCCTCCAATCTCGATCAAATTTGGCAGTGGGGAAGAAGTCCCAAACATATTTAGGTCTTGAATGAACAGCTGAGTAGAGTACATAGTAGAGGCACCACCTTGGTGGTGCGAAAGGTGGGCAGAACTCAGCCCTTGGCTGTCCCCCAGGGGCAGTACCCCTGCCTGCTTGGCCCCTGTGGAGCTCCCAGCCAACACATTACCCCTGGCTCAGCCAGACAGGGCAAGGCAAGACTGGGAAAGAGCTGGAAGATTTGTCAGGGGGGCATTTACAGACACAAATCCATGGGAAACAAAGCTTCACGAGTTTAGCTGCTGAGAGAGAAATTGTTTTGACAAACTGCAAGGTTCGGTGGTGAATGGTAATAGCACTAGTAGGAGATTTCTGCAAGAGGGCTGACGGGCTGTACTTCAACCCCTGTGAAGCATTTACGTGATTGTAAGAAAGACAATATAAGAGCAAGAAGGCATAATCAAATGGATTGGAATCCATCTAACAGGAAGGTATCAAAATATAGTTGTAAGCACTGTGTCCTAGAGTCATCATCTTTCTTCTATGGGTCCTGCAACTACCTGTTTTGGGCCCTACATTATTTAATGGCTATGTTATAGTCACCAGGGCAGGCAAATGCTGCAGTGTGCCTCCTGGCTCCCTTCCGGCTCCTGAACTGGGCTTTCTTCCCATGAAACTGGGGTGTGGCAAGAGGATGTACACCATTGTACATCCAGACCTCCTCCTCACACAATATTGACACAGCTGAGGTGTACACACACCCGGAACCAGGAAACTCCTACAGCGGAGACAGAAACAGTTGTTTATCTGGAAGAAAATATAAAATCATTACCAATCAAGTTTGTAGGTGACACTCAACAGTAGCAGGAGGGGGTACAAAAAGAGACTGTGGCAAGCCACAATGCTGTCTAAGGACTCGTCCTTTTCAAGAGGGCCAAGTGTAAAGCCATACATGCACAACAAGCACAAACCAACAGGTTGGGGATGCCATCCCAAGAAGGAGCAGAACTGAGAATATTTTAGGAGCCGTGCTGGGAAACTAGCTGAACACGGGCTGCTGTAATCCCTGGATGCCTAACAGAGACGTCTCGGCCAGGAGCGCTGTCGGCATGGGTATGATCACCGCTGATCGCTCTGTCCCCTTCTGCCCAGATCAAAAGGGTGAAAAACTGGAGTGCTCACAGGGAACCGCCACAGGAATGGTTACAGGATTAGTACAGACGGACCCGAGGGGGAGCTCTGCACGTCTGCAGCAGGAGTGTTAAACGCTCAGTTGGTCAGCCTGTACACAGCTACACAGGGACGGAAATCTGGCAATGGAGCATTCCTCCGTCAAGCAGACCGAGATAACAGCACCATCCAGAAACTGAAAGCAGAAACTAGACAAGTTTAAAAAGGTATTTTGATTTCTAGTCTGTCAGGGAGAGTCTGATAGAAACAAATCTCGTATTTTACTCTCTCTCACAGCCCATTTTAAAATGAAAATCCGATGTTTTTCTAAGATGCAGGTATGCTGTAGTTAAATTCTTCCAAATGAGAAAAAGCAACAAATTCACAAAAACCTTATGACCTGCATAATGCAGGAAGCCGAACCAGATGAACCTAGGTCTCTTTTGTCCTTTATAATCTATTAATCTGGTTTCCTTGCACGAGCAGCGGATTGTGACATGAAAACCTTCAGTAGAAAGGATTCTGTGTACAAGCCAGTCTAAAACAAAACGTTGTAAACAGTCACGATTATTGTTTGGCAGAACAGCTGCATATTTTTTATTTCACTTTGCCTCTCAATCTAATTTGCTCTTGTTGCAACACTTTGCCAAAGAAATTAAATCACTTCTTATTGATAACAGACAGCGAGATAATTAGCATAAGAGTTTTCCACTCGACAATGCAGGGGAGGGATGCTGTGGGCAAGAACAAACCCCTTTGCTTCAAGAATGTGCGTAGAGTCACCACAAGCTGTTCAAAGATCTCTTTCTTTCTCTAAAGAGTCTCATGCAGCAAACCAAGGTCAATCTAACTCAAGTATGAAAGTCTGGTTTGACCTTTTTGGGATTTAAACACGCTGTACCAGAACGTTTAGCTTTTCAGATATGAGGTTCAGCCATGAAACCACCCACTCTGGGAGTGCAACCGGTCTCAACTGCCTCGGTGACTTTTAAACTACATTGAACATTATAGTAATTCAGAAACTCTAAAAAACAGAAATACATTTTCAGCTCAGACTTACAAAAAACAATTTCCAGAAGTGCTGAGGACCCACACAATTCACTGGGTCGGCACAGCGGGCTCGCTGCACAACGCCTGCTGCCCCAGCAATTTCTGGCCCTGGTTTGCACGTACCCGGCGCCAGGCGCACGCTTTAGGACCTTTCCCAGCTGGAGCAGCTCATGGATTCTACCATCGGTAAGGGCCGTCCTGAACAATGATTAATTGCAGACAAAGATCACAGTCCTGGAAAAATGCGCAGAGAAGTGCAAGTACAGACAAAGCTGTCTAAGCTCCCACGGTATTATGGTCTGGCTGAATCGTTTCAAAGCCTGTGTTAGGCAGAGCTAGTTTGCTTCAGGGTTAAACAGACCAACGATAAGGCTTAAATGCAGATATTACTAATATCCAAGTATCTATTTAAACATAGATTTTAAATCCCAGGAAAGCTAATAGCCGATGCTGTTTAAATCTGCCCTGTTTTTTTAATCACTTTACGTGCTGACTTAACTCATAATGATGCAACCTGCAGAAACGTTTTCATGCCAGTTCAAAAAAACCCCCTGCAAAACCCAGAACAGATCTACACCGTACTTTGATCTACGCGTCGCCTGCTTCGGCCATTTCCAGGAAGCTACAAAAGCTTTTCACCTCTGTTGAGAAATAGTAGAGGAGCATTTTCATGGCGTTTAGCTGAGAACAACGCCACCGTTCCTTCCCAAGTTTATTAGCAGATTGTTACTGAAAGCGGTTGATAAAGCAGGCAGGCAGTCACACCGCTGGCATGAGC